ATAAAAATCAGAACTGCACATTGGGTGATGACCATGGAACTATTCAAAAACTTCTCCACGAATGAGATTCTAAGAAGCTGGACTGAAGTAGCACAAACAGATGTACCCAAAGAAGTTGTGAGAGCGGAGTGGAAGCCACCTGCACCGAACAAACTAAAACTAAACTTTGATGGGAGTTCCTTTGGTAACCCGGGAAGGGCAGGTATAGGGGGTGTGATTAGGAATCATCTAGGTGAAGTTGTGGCACTCTTCTCAGGACCAATAGGTATTGGTGACTCTCAATACAGGCTGAACCTCTGGCTCTACTTCAAGGTTTAAAGATGGCTGAGCAGATTGGTACAACAGATTTAGAAATAGAAGGAGACTCACTACTGGTCATTTCTTAGGCTAAAAACATCACATCAGCACCTTGGAAGCTCAAATTTATATACATAGAAATTGACATAATTGCAAGGAGGTTCAACTCTCAGTTTGGGTGGGTCAAAAGGACCGCAAATGGGTTGGCGGACACCCTAGAAAAACAGGGGGCAAATAGATCTACCTTGTACTGGGCAGAACTATAACTGTTTTGTATGTGTTTGCAGATTGGATTAATGCATTCTGCAACCTATAACTATTGTAATTCAATATTCTGTTATCAATAAAAGTCTTTTAGCTGATTAAAAAAAATAATCGCAAGTCAAAATATTGGAACATTAAAAGCTGACAAAATAGAGTATCTAATAAATGTTGACTATTTAGAGATAGGCATTGAATGTATCTGCTTAAGTGTTAACGTCTATGATACCCAGATATGGCTAAGACATATCTTGACAAGGTGTCTGACATGGAACTTACATTGACTATTGAAATGTTGGATATGGTGTAATACTAACATAGTGTCTGAGGTCAAATAACTTGAACAAAGTGAAAGGAAGATCACTTAAACACAACAAATAGAACTTGAGCTTGTCTTTCCAACTCCTATGTGGTCTTCTCGTAGCATCTCCTGAACACAATAAACAATCCCAAATTTTTTGAGTTATAATTTCCAAACATTTTTTTATGAAGGAAAGCAAAAAGCTGGCAGGAGTATGGTACTGAGGAAGGCAAGAGGTACGTGGTTGAATGCAAGAGAAATGCCAAGGGATTCTACATAGCTTTGATTGAATTTTTTGGTAGGGGAAGGAAGCAATTAGTTTGTTTCTCAGAAGGAAGACAGAACTATGGCTGGGGGAAATTAATAAAATGCTCAATGAGTTCTGGTCCTATAGAGTAACAGATGAAAAGGAAATCTCAAGGGAGGGGAAGATTGGTGTGGTAGGTGCTTCTGAAGCTGAAGTTAGAGTATTGGTGATTGGTCTGAGAATGGTTAAATCTCTTCAGCTTAATTCTGTTCTCATCAAGGGGGATTCTGGGAATGTTATTAGTTGAGCCTCCCACTCAGATAAGGGCCCTTGGAGGCTAGGTCACTTTCTCAATGATATTTTTTTGATAAACAAAGTAAATCATTGTATTAATTTAAATTAATAAGTGAAAGCTGATACCAGCAGACTTGGAGAGGTGCGAGCTGCGTTTTCAAAGTGGGGAGAGAGAGAGAAGGGACTCTTTGTGAAACAGGGGAGAGCGGAGGTTGTGGGAGAGAGAGAGAGACCAGAGGGGGAGGGGGAGGGGGAGGACATCAACGCCAAGTACTGTATAGGAGGAGGTGGATTGGGGAGCGTTTTCAAAGTGGCATTGTCACGTTCTGGCCCCTCTCTCTCTCTCATTTGGACTTGGCAAACCGAACTTTGGCTTGCTAACGTCTCCAGAAATGGCGGAAACGGCTCGGTTCGTCTGTTTTGCTGCTCCACTTATACCGATCATTGCTGATGCTGATACGGGTGGTGGCAATGCTCTCAATGTTTAGAGGACTATCCAGGACTTATTTGCAGTGGGTGCTATTGGTTGTTTTCTTGAGGATCAAGCATGTCCAAAGAAGTGTGGCAAAGAAGTGAGGATCAATGTTTAGCGGGTGCTACTAGAGCAGGTTTTCTGAATGATGCCGGTGTTGAGATGAAGGGGACAAGGGTAATGTTGGGTTTTAAAAAAAATTATAGGTCACATGGGGTCACATGTGCACAGATCGCGACAGAGCACTAACGGATGCTAACGGTAGGGGTAGAGCTAGTCAATTGTCAGAAACAGTACGGGTAGTGTTAGACAATAGTCAAACAGTAAGGGTACAGTTAGTCAATTTTGCAAACAGTAGGAGTAGTTTAAGGAAATTGCCCTTCTATAAATTCCTATTCCAATCTATCGTAAGCTTTCTACATATCAATTTTATAAGCCATGATGCCCTTTCTGCCCTTCTTTTTCCTCAATAGTGTGGGGCATCTAATGAGCCAAAAGAATGCTATCGTTAACTTGTCTATTTGGCACAAAGGCACTTCGGAATGGGGATGTGACATTATCCCGAAGATGTTTGATCCTGTTTACTAGAATTTTTGCTATTAGCTTGTAAATAACATTACAAAGGCTAATGGGTCTAAAATTGTTTACTGTTTCTGGGTTTTTGATCTTAGGCTAATAGGGTAACATTAGGCTAACATTTTTCATTCATGTCTTTTTGTTACAACTTACATGAATAATCCAAAGTATCAATGTCAAGAAAGTGTATTCTTATGTATTAAGGATTTTTGCAATATGCTTATCTTGGTACAAGATACTTAAATAGTTCCTGGTTGGAGGATTATCAAGAGGGTTTTGATAATTCGGATAGACTAGCACATATTTTGCTTGCCTTTATTGGGTGATGAATCTTAAGTCACTAGTGGAGACACTGAAACAAATATGTGGGTGCTTGTTAGAGAACAGGTTTATTGAACTTGAGTCATTAATAAATAGCTACATGGAATCTTTTGTCAATAACTGATTCAATCATCACAGTTGTGTAGATGATCTTTAGACCTAAGGCATCATAGATACCTTGTGCATGGGCCTCCATAGTTTGATAGTGGATATAAGCATACACATGCCGGCTATGGTGGCTTGTACATGGAGGAATGTGAATGCACAAAATGGAATGCCACTCTCAATGAGGAGAGAGAATGTCCTATGCAACTAAGATTCATGTGACTCAACTAATTCTTGGCCAAGGCAATATGATTTATGGAAAGAGTTCCAAGTTTCACCTTATGAGTCATCATCAATACAGTGAGACATATGATTGGGCCAGTAGGGTTTGACAAATTTATCATGACTGTTTGCTCTTTCAGGACATTGTGTGATAGAAGAATCCTATTGCATGCTAATTGTAGATAAAAAGGTTCAATCTGCCAAATTCAAATTATTAGGGTGGTCATGACATACTGATAAGTGTCACTCATGACCTATGGAGTTCCATTGGGATGCTAAAGGAGTTTGACATCATTTTCCACTGCCTAATAGTGTCGAACCTAAGAGGTCACACACATTAAGGGGCAAAATCTGGAAGTATGAGGGAAGGGTGCATTCATTGAGAGGGATCTTAGTGGAGGGACCTTATTGCAATTATAGGAAACTTATGAGATAAGATTGAGCTCTATAAAAGGAGTGCATGGGGCGTCCCTAGGGTTTTTGAGAGTGTTTTCCCTGCTAAACTAAACCCCAATCATAGATAAGATTGCTAGCACATTCTTGGAGCCACCCCTTACTCTCCCTCTTCATCTTTCTCTCTTGGATCAAACTCTAGAAAAGATTTAGGAGCTTTGATTTGCTGCTGCTTTGTGTGCACTATCTTGGAGCCCAAACAATTGTAAGGCTGCAGAAAAAGTACCAAGGCAATTCTTTGCACACCTTTCTTGGAAATCAATCTACATAGACTCATGGAGGTATGCAGTTTTTATTTATTTTTAATTAGGGTTTTATACACCACGATGGACGTGATCTTGGTTTAACCAAGATTCTTTAAAATTTAAATTTCCGCTGCTAAATAATTAAAGATGGCTGTGGTTGGTCACTTGGTTGGTACAAAGTATTCTCCAATAGGTTAAAGAAAACATTTAGATGTGTGCTTTGGGTCTCACCCTAACAGTTGAAAGAAACTACTAACTGCCCAAGTTCACCATTGGCCAGGAATAGTTTAGTCAACATACTGAATATGCTTGTCTCCATTATTTTTGTAATCAACATAATCCTAAAATGCAGGTCAAGGGCTATTCACAAAAAAAAAAACCAAATAACACATGCGATTGTTCATGAAACGATTCTTTTATTCAAAATAAAAGCAGTTTACATATCCTATTGGATCCTGAGAGCATACATTGTCTGACAGTCTCCCCATTTTAATGCTACTGTCCCATACATATTCGGGGCAGGACAATCATTTAAATGTATCCTATATCAGTAAACATACATCTGGCTGCCAGAGGAAGAGATTGGTTCTTTTCTCTCCTATCTTCTTTCTCTTCTTCTCTCTATCTTTTCTTTCTTTCTCATAGACTGAATAGTGAATACCATTTACAAGATGCAGTACTAGGTTGGTTTCAGATGCAATAGTTAAGAAAAGGGAGGGAGGGAGGCAAGTAGTGCTGTTGCCACTAAGAGAAAGAAAGAGGATGGCTCCTTAATGCACAAACTCCAAGTGTTGCAGAGAAAACAAGCTTCATTCAAACTTTATTTATTTACTACCTTTATAGAGATAGACTACATACAAGAATTCCTATCCCCACTACTATCTCATAAAATGACAAATAAAATAAAAAAACCAGAAAATATCTTCTAGCAAATTTTTGGAGGAAATTGCATTACCTAATACTGCCATCTTAAACATTGTACACTGTCATGGCAATTATATAATTATAAATTGAATAGCCTTTACAGAACAATGATAAGTTTGATAGTTTAACATAATTCTCTTGCATAACTAATTTATCTATTATGTTAATTCATTCGCCAAAGTTTATGCTTTTGCATTTCATATATTTGTTTAGCATGGTATATTCTCTTCTTTCAGGTATTTGAATCAACCTTTATTCTTTGATTATACTGAATTCTTGCAGGGGTTTGTCTTTGTTGATAGGGATGGGAAACATTTTCGGCATATACTAAACTGGTTGAGGGATGGTGTTGTTCCCACACTTGAAGACTCACAATATCCAGAGCTTCTCCGAGAAGCAGAATACTATCAGCTACTTGTAAACCCTAACTCCTTGTAGTTTGATAGAACAGATTTATTCTTCACTGTATAATTTTGGGTAATTTGTTAGAGTTCATTTATTGCTAACTAAATATTGCTTATTATTTTTTGCTTCTTGAAGAATCTGGATAGTCTAGAACAAGCTTACTTCCAGTTTTGAGGTGTTGCTAGAAATTTTCTTTTGCAGTTGTTCTTCAGCATGTGAAAGTAAAGACCTAGTTTTTTTTGAAGATGTTTAAATCCTCTGCATCTAAAAACTGTACAAGAATGTCTTGAAGTATTAATTGAATATACTAGCAACATAAGAAATTTGTCTCAAGTTACAGGGCTAGAGTAGAAGTAGTAGGAAATTATTTAAGTGCCAATAATTTGACAGTGGATATGGCATTAAAAACAATGTAATGACGATACAGGATTCGTGTTAGCCAACTCCATATAGTTGGAATAAGGCTTGGATGATGATGGTGAAGACTAGAAGCTTAAGAAATTACTTCTGAAGAGTTAAGTCTATATTGGTTAATATTCTTGCAATGGCAAAAATCAATTGAAATCTGAACAATCACTCGCAGTTCTTGCAACAAAAGTTATTTATGCATAAGAGAGAAACTAATTTTGTTTAAAAAAAAAGTATGTCCTAGCATTGCTTTGCTTGATCTTTTATATATTTGTTTAGACACTATGACTTCATTATCCTAATTCAGGAAAAACCTTGAATTTTAAAAACTCACCTAAAAAGAATCTTAAATAACTTTCTAATGTGAAATTCCATTATAGATTGACAGCCTATTTGTGCTTTGGTTGTAGTACTCCCGAAGTCCATTTTATTTGTCTAATAGTAGGCTGGTTAGGTAAGTGAATGAAAGCCTTCTGATATGGCAATTTATTTCATGTTCTGTTTATTTTATGTCAAAGAGGAATTCCACTAAACACAAATCTGACAAAAATGAGTTAAATTGGTTTAATGTGTTTATGTATTGTCATCTCTATTCAGAAATGTTTTGCATGCATAATTTCAGGGGTTAGTTGATGGGATCAATGCAGTCTTGAATAGGAGGAAGGATGATGATGACTTGAAAACTGAATTGACACGTACAGATATAATCAAATGCATACAGTCTAAGAGAGTCAGATTCCGAGGGGTGAATCTTTCAGGACTTGATCTTTCAAAGTTGGTATGATTTCACATCCCAGCTGTTTTGACATTTTTCAGTTACATGTCAAAATAATTAACCTGTTACTACTAAAATTTTGTTGCTAGTGCATGTATTTTCTGTAGCCATTAGCCACTATTGGAAAATATGCTATGCTATCTACCTATCTTGCAAAATTTGGGGTTATCTTCACACAACCCATACTTTTGTAGGATGGCAAACTGGATTGCAAGTGTTGCCTAGATTTGAGTGTATCTTCTTTACTTCTGTTTAAGATCATTGAAAATGATTTGTTTCCTTTTTCTTAGTAAATTACTATCATGATTTTTTGAAATCTTTATCTGAATGTTATCTACCAAGTTGATTTATTATTTTATTATGAGAAAAAGCAGCGGAAAAGGAATGTAAAACTAAACTTCTGTGTTAGTTGTTTTCTTCACATTTTCATCATGTTTGCTCTGCATGGCTTTTATCTACCAGACTTGTCGTCAAAAAAATACATCCTGCTTTAATGCATGCTGTTTTGGAATTTGCAGGATCTGTCATTTGTTGATTTCAGCTATGCATGCCTTAAAAATACCTTCTTTTCTCGTGCAAACCTTCAATGTGCAAAATTCCGGGTATTACTCTTTGATCAGTTCAGTGTATTTTCTAGTGCACTTTATTAGTCCCTCATTTGAATGATCTTAAATCCCCCATGATTTTATTGGTCGTAAAAATGAAAATATATTAATATAGAAAGAAGAGTACAATAAGGTGATAAGAAATCACCCAACAAGAAAAAAAAGTATCATCTCAAACCAATGTAAAACAAATCCAACATTCATCTCCACACCAAGACAAACCCCACATAAGTTTTCAAAGATATTTGTTTTCTATTTCATTTGAGGTTGAGCTCAACTATAATAACACAAATGCTTGGGCAAAGGTTCATGTTTCAAGACTCAGACCAGACTGGATGGTTGGACTGTTCAACCTGGTAATCAGAAGGCAATTCAGTTTTTTAAAGCCCTGATTTTCTTTTTTTTTTTGAAAAACTGGAAGAACCAGTCAAAACCTGGTGGAACTGTTTCAATGACCTGCCCGGGTCACTAAAGGCACATATATTTTAAAATGCAAATGGAAAGACTTGAACTTGAGATCTCACAGTTACATGTGTTAGCATCAAACCACTAAGCGATCATATATTTTGTGCTTATTTATTTATTTTGATCTGTAATCAGTGGAATTTCATTTCATTATACAGAAGAAAAGTAGTACAGATAAAGATCAATTTTAGACATATGAGAAGCAAAGCTTTTCAAAAGTTACAAGATTATCCCAACTCTGCCTAGAAAAGTTGATCCCTATGTACCCCTTGTTTTTTCAAAGTATCAGCCATCCCATTTGATGTTCTCTTGACCCACTTGAAGCTTGCATCGAGATCCTTCGCTAAGCTCTTTATTTCTTTTGACCCACTTGACACCTGGATTGCTGTCATCCATCCAGAAAATTACTAATTTTGAATTATCTTCTATTTCCAAGTTCTTAAACCCCCCTTGTTTTGCTAGTTTCAGACCTTGAAGTGAGGCTGTTATTTCTGCTCTTGCCGAGTCCCCTATTCCTAATGGTCCTGAAAATAGGGTTATCACTGTGAAGAGTCCCAATGATGTGTTATATTACTGTAGTCCTTGTTGTATTAGATCTCTTATTTTCTTCTTTAGCTCCATAAGGGCTTTTTGGTAAATACTCGTATTTCACCCCTGACTTCTGTGTTCTCTTGTATGCATTGCTCGTGTGACATGGTATCAGAATAGGTTGCTCTATAGAGTGTGTGTGCAACATGTTCACTTACTAACTTCTCAAAGTTTAATGGTTTCTGGATTCATCGACTGAAGCTAGGGTTGTTTTGGTCAACCCTAACCCTGGGTTACTCTGTTCTGTGATTTCAGCAAGAGAAGACCTAATAGAACTCTCTGGAAAGGCAGCTGTTTGAAGTGAAATTTTACTGGCTGTGTCACCCAGACCAAGTTTACGTATTCAGAAAGTTTCATTGAGATTGGACAAGTATTGGAGTTCTGATCTCCTCTCTAGGACGGCAGTTTCTGAAAACCTGCACACACCAGGTTGGTGAATCACCTCTTTGTTTATTCAGCTGTCTTCTCTTCTTCTTGGACCCTAGATTTGGTATCGCCCTAGGGTATTCCTACTCCTCAACTGCTTTGTTGAAGTTCTAAATCAGTTCTGGGGTGTTTTTAATCCTCTCTTCAATTTGACAGTCCTGGAACACTACTGATTTGGAGTGTCAGCACTAGGAACTATCAAGTTGGATCTGTTCTGGTACTTTCTTGGAGGATTTCAATTCCTCTATAGGGTGAAACGTTTCTGTGGATTGTACAACTGAAGTTGGGTGATTATACATATCTTCTGGCCCAGTTTTTCTGCTGTTTCTCTGTAGTGCTTGCTTCGGCCTTGCTGTCAAGGGTTTTTCTTCTGAGAAACTCCCTTGTTTGGATGCTAGGATATTGATTTCAGCATTTACATTGTTTCTGGATCAAGTGTAGCGATTAACAAACTTGGCAATTAAATATCAGTGCTGTTATTTGTCTCTCTGGACTATATTTTTGGATTGAAATGGCTAAAAAAGTGGAAATTATTCCGATGAAGTTTGATGGAACCAATTGGGGAAGAGGGGGAGAGCAATCAAGAAGTTGAGTCTATTGGGGTCGTAGGGGCAAAGGAAGTAAGAGAAGAGGAAGAAGTGAGAAGGGACAGAGGGAGGAAAGGGGATAATGGTTTAGTGGAGAAAAAGGAAGGGGAGAGAGGAGAAGGGAATGAGGGAGGGGGAAGTTAGGGAATAGGAAACAAGAGTTGAGATGATGTAAGAACATATAAAAGGAAAAGATGAGAACTTTTCCCTTAGAAGAAAACAGAGAGAGGGGATTGAAATTGGACTCGGGGGAGGAAAGTGAGGATGATCCTTTGATAGATGAGATGCATAAGGTGGAGGTTACTTGTGACATTTGTTGAGTTTTGGGATGATATAACATGTTTTTTATTTACATAGCATAGTTAGGGAGTTATTGGGTCTTAGGCCCATTAGTTTATGTTTTAAGTTAAGAGTGTTTTTTAAATTCTCACAAGTAGCCGACTTACTAAGGGCATACTTGTCTTTGTACTCTCTTTTATTTATGAGTATATAATCTAATGAAAGGGGCGGCCAGACCTAATTCTGAACTTCTCCCATTCTCTTCTATCTCTCTTCTCTCTCTTTCTTAGCTAAAACCTTTTCTTCTCTTTCTTTTCTTCTTTCTTTTACAGTCTTTATATCAAAATAGGTTGTCCAAATCTTTCTACTTGGTATCATAGCAAGTTAAAAGATTTCTTGAGCTGCTCCACCATGCAACTCTAGATTGGTCGACTGCATGATAAGGTAAAGGGTTGATCGAAGACTTCAGGTAAGCCTAGTTTTTGGTGGAATTGCAATCCTTTGTAGCTGGTCTTGGGTTTTACACCAAAATTAGGAAGAACTAGAGAAAGGGGGAGAGTCCTGTTTTAGGACTTTCAATTTTCACCTAGGAAGTGGCGTTCTAGGGTTCCTTGAGGGTTTTTGAAGGGGCGGTTCAAGTCCCAACCTTTTTGGAGGTCCTTGGAGGGAGCGACAACCTCTTCTCTTTATTTTCCTGCTCCCACGGAAAAAGGAATCCTTGGAGGGAGGGGCTTTTAAGATTCCAAGAGGGTGTTTAAGGTTTCTAAAGAAGATAAATACCTTCTTTTTCATCTCAAATTGATTTCCTAATCTATTCGGAGAGTTGAAAACAAATTTACAAGAGAAATGAGATTCTGGGGATGAGGTGTTGGAGACCTCTTCGGGGCCAGAACCATCACTACAGTCAAGTTGGATGGTACAAACTACTTAGAATGGTCACAATCTGCAAAGATGACCATTGGTGCTCGTGGGAAATTGGGGTATGTCACCAATGAGGAAAAGAAACCTGAAACTAACCATTCTCGATGTGTACAGGAGAACTACATGGTGATGACCTGACTGTGTAATTCCATGTTGCCCCATATAAGTAAGAACTTTTTATGGGCTAACACAACTAAGGAGATTTGGGATGGAGTAGCAGAAACCTATTCATAGGATGAAAAAGTTGCTAGAGCCTATCAGTTGAGAAACTAGGTAATTGTTACTAGGCAAGGAAAATAAGTTTGTTGCTATTTATTTTTCAGCCCTCAAAACCTTATGGCAAGAGATAGATCATTTGGAGATTGTGGTTTGGGAAAGTAGCAAAGATGTAACAACTCAAAGCTGGTAGAAAAGAATATGGTTTTTGAGTTTTTAGTTGGACTTAACCTTGAGTATGATATTGCACGACAAAATATTCTTTTCGAGACAGTGTAACTCTCTCTCAAGCATATGCCTTTATGTCTGGAGAGGAGAGTAGGAGGAATGTGATGATAAGGAACCTAGGCCTTAAGCAATCAACTATGGTTAGCACTTAGCACAATGAAGCCTAAGCCGAGTGGGGACAAGGGTGGAAATGAACGGAGGAAGGAGGACAAAAGGGATTTGATCTGTGACTATTGTAAGAAACCCAAACATACTAGAGATACTTGCTGGAAGCTTTACCCACGCCTTGTATCGAGTCGGCTTAGAAATAAGAAGGGAAATGTGAATATGGCTATGTCTAGTGATTTATCAGGGCCACCTACTATAGCTTCTCTAGAGTTTGTTGCAACGGCTGCAGTGAGGGCCAAATTGGAGAGATATGGGCAGTTCCTAAATCAGAAGGATATAGCTAGTTCCAACTCATTATCAAGTGGACAACAAGGTGTAGGTGGATCAGTAGGTAGTCATTCTACTTCATTTGCACACACAGGTAGTTCACATGCCACTACAAATTATGTATCCACTACAGGTAAAGGGGGACCTCCCTGGATTATAGACTCAGGAGCCTCAGAACATATGGCCAACATTTCCACCATTTTCACCTCATACCACCTTTGCTCTGGCAGAGGTAAAGTTTCCACAATTGATGGATCACATGTTCCCATTACTGGGAAAGGGTCTGTCAGGATAACTGATACCATTACCCTACCTTTTGTCCATCATGTTCCTTGACTGAGCACTAATCTTTTATCCGTTAGTAGCTTGACAAAGAATTTGAACTGTTCTGTGATTTTTTCCCCTGGTCATTGTGTTTTGTAGGATCTGGAATCAAAGAGGACGATTGGGAGTGGTCGTGAGGTGAATGGAATCTATCTTCTTGATGCACTTTTCAATCATCAGAGTCATCATGCCAGCAGGAGCATCAAGTCAAAGTCAGTGGGTCAGATTATGCTTTGGCATAATCGGTTAGGACATTTTTCTTTTGCTTCTTTGCGTTTTTTGTTTACCAAATTGTTGGAGTGTGAGGGCTGTTAACTTGGAAAGCATTTTAGACATTCCTTTAAAGCAAGTAATAAAAAATATTCTTTTGTTTTTGATATTGTTCATACTGATGTATGGGGGCCATACTATGTTTCATCTATGGGTGGCTATTGATATTTTATTCTGTTTGTGGATGATTATTCTCAGTACTTTTGGATATATTTGATGAGATCCCGTGATGAGGTGCCATCTTTGGTTCAACAACTC